AAACTCGTGTCCAGTGCTTTAGGACGCACTCACTTCGAGGAATTGCCGAGTTGTTAATAAAAAGCTAGTCACACAACATGAACCTTCAAGAGTGCAAAAAATTCTTACCTTTGAAAATTGGGCACATCCTCCACATTTCCATGGCGCCCCGTTGCAGATATTGTCCTATGGTTACTTCCATAATGAAAATTGGCACAGCCGCCAAACAGAAGAATATCGCATACACAACAAGGAATGATCCACCTCCATTCTTGAAACACAAATACGGGAAGCGCCATACGTTTCCTGAAGCAAAAGTATCATCAACGAGAAACCAAAGAGGATTCCTTCTGATGGCTATGTCAAGAAATATTCACTCAATGTATAAGATACCGTGCGGCGGCGAAGCGAAAAAAGCGCTCAAAAAGGTCCTTGCGGTTGTCGTAGCGCGCGCGGCATTTGCACCAGCACCTTTTTGAGTCAAGCGAAAGTGACGCGGAGAGAGTTGACTAGTTAGGAAACGTCATAATTCAGAAGCGTCGTAATTTGTACCGCAGTTCCTGCCCAACATCCTAACACACATAATTATTCCATGTGCAATTATTATATATGGCAGCGGGGTCAGTGTCCAGAGAGGCCATACAGTGCTATCGTTTTTCTTACCAACAGTAACCGGTTCAAAGTACAAGACAACACAGTAGGTGGAAAATAGCCACTTGCAGCGCCTCCTGACACACGCCCGCTAGATGACGATTATCAACTCCTATGACTAAAGACCTCTAGGCTAGGACACATATATTTTTAAACTCATCACATGAGTTTTTAGTGATCCATAAAACTTACAATAAACTTACCGAGTCCAACTGCATAGGCAATCATACTCATCAAGAAATCGAACTTCCCCGTCCACTGTCCCCGATCTGGCTCCTCCTCATCTGAAACACATAAGTTCACTGAAGCTAAGTGTGAACTTTCCGAGTACAGAGTACAGCACTGATTATTTGGCTCGTTTAGTAAATTACAGGATGAATAGAGGAATTGTCCTTACGTGATGTGGGCGGCATGGTGTGACTTTCGTCCGTTGGAAGCGGTTCATGGCCTTCACGGCCCATCACTAAAATAAAACATTTGACGTTGAAAAATACTTTACACTACAATAACGTCGGAATACTGGAAGCAGAGCATTGAAATCAAAAGAGTCTAAGGTTCTGAGAGATTCTCTCCATATTTCGAAGCAATGAGTTGAAGGAAAGTAGACAAGCAGGGGTCCAAATCAAGTAAATCCAATGTATGTTAAACAGTCCAACAAAAGTCCAGAACACATCGATCGCATGGGTAGATTCCGCCCTAGTAAGCCACTGAACGGTAAAAAGTAGGTGTGCGCCAATGAGAAAGAGTCAGTGACTCCACCCATCCAGTTGGCGTCTATCAAACCTTCGAGGATGAGGGGGCAGGTGGATGAACGAAGCCCTGGAGAAGAATAAAAAACTCATCCCGCACAGAAGAGTTGCACAAACTACCGCAAACCTGTATCTGTAAATTTCGCCAAATTCAAAAGTAAAAAAAAATTGACGACAATATCCAGTATCGAAACCTGTTCACTCGAATATCTCCACTTGACGTACGCTTTTTACCTAAGGAGGTACTCTACGAAGCAACTCTACATAAGAAGGTTCTTTGGATTATCTCTTTAGAACCCTGCAATTTTCAAGGGGCATGGACCACTTCTAAATAATAATATTTTCGAAATATTTTCGCTGACATACTGATGACTGGAGTTTCTATAGATATCATGAAAACCTCCTGAGACGTTCAAGAGATCATTGAGCTATTGAAGTGCGATAGAACCATGGCGCACGCTGTTGGTGAAAAAGTTTTCCCCTTTCTATCACAAAGCTCCCCCATTACCACGATCCTCCCCTCTTCGCCATCCCACCTTCCATCTTACCGACTTTTATCTGATGCCACCACTGAATCCATCACTTTCCAACCAACTCTTTCCCGATTTCCTGAATATTTTTCGGTTTTCCGTAGAATTCCACCATCGTGCAGGAGAAAGGGAACAACTTATGAGACGGTAGAGAATGCGAAAAATGGGGATCTCCCAACGATAAGCGATGCGAATAGCGCGCTGAAACAGAAAATTCGACTACCAAAGTGAGTCTGTACGAGCCCCCCCCCCTCCGGGAAACCCAAAGTACGAACGGAAGGACGTTAACAAGAAGGATGAGGGCAAGATGAAAGATGTGTTCGATAAGAGAAGATGGCAACTGCATACGGTAGTGGAAGGTGATCGAACATCAAACCTTCTCATCAGTAGACAACGAATGGACTAAAAAAGTACAAACCAAATTCTGCCAAGAATTTGGCGTTTAAAAAACCAGTCTCAATTACAGGAGCTTGGAAATTGAGTTCCTAAACAAATGATGTCGTTGTCGCCTCGCGCACTCCGCTGAGGCATCAGCTCTCTTCACTCCATCACCGAGTCCGGTTTCCTATGCATCAAAAATGTTGCGATGTGATTTGTTGCCTACCATCACTCAAACAGATCATTCGGTTTACTGCGTACCGTTAACATACAACAACAGTTCGCACTCCCCGTTACAATTAGTTGCCACCGCGAGGCCTTTAATGCGTACCGAGAACAAACTTAGCTCTAATGAAAATGGAAGCATTGATGTGCATTGAACGCGATGGAACGATCAAAAGGCATTGGCACGATTAACTCGGCTTAAAGATGCTATCAGTCAGCGATACAAATAGTGAGAAAATGGCGAAAGCAACGAGTGAACCAAAATACCTGCAAAGAAAAACCCCTTCGTTATCAGTGACCAATTTCGGACGAGTTTCCGTAGGCATCTTGCCAATAACCGCTACGGTAGGTACGGCTGCACGTATTTACTCATATATCCATGCAGCACGCCGCCGCTTCATATCAATCCCTTCGCTTCATATTTTACTTAGCAAATGAAGCAATACGAGCGTCAGGTACGGTCGTCCATTTGTGGGCGGGCGGGCGTGGTGGGCGTTCGGGTCGGTATGTTGTGGCTTGATAGGGCCCTTATAAGGGTACCTTCCTTGGAAAAGGCGCTACGCAGCGCCTGCTCAGGGTCGCGGAATTCCGTCCTGCCAGGCATATTAATCCTACTCGTTTAGGGATTATCCTGCCAATTGCCTTTAAACAAATCCTACAAACATATAATAAAACGACAAAACATATAGTAAATTAAACATATAATAAAACGATAAATTGGAGAGGGGCGCGCAAGAAGAGGCTCGGTGGTAGGCCTGACTCCACCCATACATCCATCGAGGATCAAACTCCTGAGAGTGAAGGAAAATAAGCGGTGGCCAAGAAAGATGCTTCTTGAAAAATTTCACTTCAGTGTAGTTCCAGGAAAAACGGGTTAGGCTCAGCGACATTGCTGTCCCTGTGATCCGCTGCTGAACCGGCATTCCAAAGTAATGAGCCGCATCGAATTTCGGGCTCCCAAAAATACAGAGCTGGTTTATATGTGGGACGTCGGCTGCGGTGGATTCTTCCAAGGCTAGTTCGCCCTTTTATAAGAGCAATCTCTTTTTCTGCCTGTGTGTAAGTGCAGTACTCAAAACTAGAGTGTATGCTATCCATGAATCCCTACCGGCAGAGCGAACTCTTCAATTCGGTTTTTTTCCTGGAGATTGGTGTCCATTTTGCTGGCGAATTAGGGTGTTTCGTAGCAGTATACAGGCGAGCGCTTCAGCGCTAATGTTGAGGGGGGAGAATAAAGGCGGAATAGACTGTCTCCTTATGAGGTCGTACTTTCAGGAAGAAAAGGAGTAATCGGCAACAAAGAAGGTCAAATGGTTAACCGTCCACGCCCACACGATCAGTGTGGGGTGTCCCTCTGGAAAAGAGCGGTTTATCGGACAACAGTGTCGCGTCATGGGCAAGTGATTACACTAGCATCTCTCAAAGACATCGCATACGGTTGATAGTGAAGTACATTCACTAACTTACAGTCGCTATACGATTCTCCAGGAGAGAAAAAAGCCCATAAGTCAGGGCGATCACCCTCTAGTGAGAAACTCTAGCAGCCTCACTGGACGAGATCTCCGGACCTGCTCCTATGCCAGCAGAACGACATCCCGCTGCTTCTGGCTCACTAATCGTTTCTTCGCGTGATCCAATACCAGTGCCATCTAACAGTGAAAAAAACAACGAAAAACACGATGTAAAAACTGGACTCGCGATAGAAAATAGCCTTCGGGTCTCGGTGGGCGGGACAACTACGGAGGTGTCAGAACTGCAGTCTATGAGGGCCGCAGAGGCTTCGACGCATGTGTAACCGCGAAAAAAGGAATAATCTATAGTAGAGTCTGAAGAGCCAGAACTATTCGAACAAGGAAGGATGCCTAGGAATTGGTTTAGCGTGGGGATTGTGCTTAACATCACGGCCACAGTCTTTACAGATTCGAATAAAACAAGCACGTCTCCACTGAGCAGCTAGATTGGTCCCAGAAAGGGGTGTTCTGGGAGGGTCTTTTTAAAGAAGCGGTCTCTGAATGCCATGAAAATCAGCGTCCGACAGGTTAAGGGAAGAATTCTGAGTCATGTGGAAACAAAAGGAGTAAGACCACAAAAATTATAGCTAGCACAAAAGTCATCGAGCTGAGAAGGATTATAGAGGATAGCGCATTGCCCAAAAGCGTTAAGTCCCGCCTGAGCCAAGACTTTTGCCTAAGACCTATAATGCGTCACTCTCGTCGTTTCTTAGATCCTCTGTCTTCAAAGCGGTAACATCAAAACAATGGTTATACCTCTTTACAGGCCCTGAGTGGCGTAAAGTTTACGGTAGCACGATTGACATAAATTCTTCATAGATTTCCCATGAATTAATGTGTGAACTGGTAGCTGGAGAACAACTAGAACCGATGGACATCTTTTAAGACATGCTCCGATGGAGAAAAAATGCCCCGATGAAGTAGCTCTCCAGCATGACTATTACAGGCACACGCATGACCAAGGAAGACGTTCACCAACGTAGATGCAAATTTGCTTGAACACAGAATTTGATGGCCAAGCTTTTACGGGGGACAATTCGGGTTTCTTGATTCGGAGGCACAGTTTGCGTCCTAGGGATCCCAGCCATAGAGTCGTTTTAAGTCGCATGTGAAGAAAGGAGGTCCCATAGCTTATTATAATTTCACCCCAGTTGCCGGAGAACGTTGGTTTACTGGATGGCTATATTGGTACATACATGTTGACATTTTATCAATAATAAAACGAGAGAAGAAAAGGAAACAGAACAACACAAGCAAAGTTCTCAAGTGAAAAGGGAAAGTATTTGTCCGACAAACCAAAATGAAAAGAGCTGGCGGTACGAACAGGGTCGACATTTATGCGTAGCTATGTCAATTTGTGAGGAATTGAAAACTATTACGTTGAAATCATTAACGATTTACCACGATTAAATCCACGGTTAATGCATAGAGTTGAAACATAATCTGGTATAAGCTATTACATCTACTTAGTAGGTAGAGAATAACTGAGTCTACTCAACCTATACACAGGAGAAATGAATGATCAAGCACCCTTCGTACAATAAGTACAAGTCCTGCAGATACAGTCAAAGCGATAATACTCAATCAGATTTAGAGACAAAAATATATCGAACTGAACCATGGTTGCCAGTGAAAAAGAATGAGGCTTGAGTGGAAATTGGCCCCTTTTCGAGATGCGCCACGTACTTCACATGCATTTCCAGTGGAGTGCCTTTTTGAATGTTATCCGGTGAACGCTATGAGGCTTGTGGAGCAACCGATGTACCATTGTACCATTCATTGTATTTAATGTCCCTTACAACTTCCATGTCATTTAAGACCACAAGCATTGTTCGCTGTGGATGGTTGGGCGTGTCAGTGCGGCTGCGTTTGGCGCGCCGTTAGCTCGTCCTCCACCAAATCGACCGGGGGAGCAGCAAAACCTGGTAGAAAACGGCTGGTACGAACAAAGTGATACAGTATCGTTGCTTGCTGGAACGAAAAAAAAGAAAAAAATCAGGTTGGCCTCGCGTCATTCCATTCCCGTGGCACGCCCCATCATCCGCACGATGCTGTAGGAGTGAAGGGC